TATATATATATATTATTTTTTTTTTTTTAAATTTACCCACCCAAAACATGCCAGCACGGAGCTAAGCAGCTTCCAGGACCCCTCGACAGGGACCGAAACCCCCTTGCTCCTGCCTGCCAGGGGCCACCCAGTCCCAGCACAGGGGTCTGACTGGTCATGGCTGCCTGTCCCGGTGTGGCTTTCCAGTCACACAGGTCTTCTCACTATTTAAACTCCTTCCAGTCAGATTTTAACTTGATTTACAGCCTAAACATGGGACTCTAATTTCCCCCCTGTCCCCTGCTCCACCCCAGAAGTAAAATCCTGCTGCACCTCTGTGCCTCCGGGCACAGTGTGATGAAACATCCTTAGCTAAAGCGCTGCCTGGCTTGGGACCGCTGCAGAGCCCCGTTTCTGTGGCTAACAGAAGGCTGTTTGCCCTGCTTATTGCAGGCACTTTAAAGTAAACACCCGCTTAGCTTTAAACGTGGTAGCGATATAAAACATACGCTTAAAGCTGAGCACACGCTCACAAGGTTTTAAAAGTTATGCCTCAGGATACTTATGAGATGTCTTCTCTCTTTGGGCATGAATACCGTTGATTTAGACAAGCAGCAATATGTGCTTATTTGTTAGAAGGTGTTTTTCTGTGCCACGAGGAATAAAGGGGATGAAGATCAGCAAATATAATTTCAGAGGGGTATCTTTATTAAAAATGAACCAGATAGAAGTGTGTGGGCTAGCACCTATATGTGCTGCATTTTTCAGGCTGCAAATAAAATGTCAGCTTTACACCGCTAAAGCGTCGAAGAGGATTTTCACAGGAAACATTAGTTACTGATGATGGTCTTTGAAAATCAGAGAGAAAATGGGCTTAGTAGTTGAGCAGGCTGCCTTTTTAAAAGGAAAACATTCTCCAAATTTTCACAAAGTAGGGAAGGAGCTGCTTGGTTAGCATCTGTTTCTTTTCCAGATATTTTCAATGTAATCAGAGGGAAAACTGCAGCCGGTCCCACTCTACCTGCAGGTGCTAGATGGCTTTATGTGCTGCTCCTTCAGTGCTGCCCCAGGTTTCTTTCAGCAAGTTCTGATGGTTTGTCAGCTGAGCTGCCTATAAATGGAAAACTGGTTGTAAAAAGACCGAGAACAAATAAGTTAGTATATGAGTTATTTGTATAACAAAAGAAACAGCAATGATGGAAACAGTTTGTAGCTCACTGAAAATATAAATGAATGACCTAACATAACCCCAGAAACATAGTTGCAGCATTTCAGGTGCAATTCCAAGTAACACAAATCTGCAGGAGTTTGTTGGGACAAAACAAATCTATAGATCAGTGAGAGGAATTTATTTTCTGGGGTATATGCGTGCAGTTCCAATTAGACTTCAATGGGCAAACATCTATTTAATGTCAGAAGAAAATGTTGTGTTGGATCCTGAAGCGGTTTAGCTAAGCTGCCCTGCTAATACATCTGGAAAGAGTTCATGTTTCCTGGCCAGGCCACTGCTGTGGGCTTCAGCTGTCCCTCATAGTCTATCTTTTCTCAGATGACTTCATTTTTATCTAATGCCTCTCCACTTGAGTTCATCAGACACCTGAAAACTGTGGAAGATTGTTTCTGATTTTTATTTTTTGAAGGATATTGAAAACTGTTGCTAGGGATGGTGAGGGAAGAAGCCCACCCTCTAGTTGTGCTACAAGGATATTTTACACAGATTTTTCCTAAAGCTCCTCATTTCCGATGAGGCTTTGGGCAACGTGGTCTAGTGGAGGGTGTCCCTGCCCGCAGCAGGGGGGTTGGAACTAGATGATCTTTAAGGTCCCTTCCAACCCAAACCATTCTATGATTCTGTGAATTCTAAAGCCTCAGTCTTCATCACCAGATCTTTCTCTACAAAGCCAGGCAAGTCAGTCCAACATTCCCCTTCTTCCTCTGCTGAGATACATCAGTCACTCCTCATCCAGCTACTGGGGATGCCTCTGATTTCCCCTACAGCTCTATCAGAATTGTTATTTATTTCTGCTCTGCCTTCAGTCTCCGCGGTTCATTGGTAGACGTCAAAGCCTCATTGAAGATGCCAGGAAGGAAAGAGAGGCTGGAGCCGCAGGCACCGATGCTGCAGAGTCTACAGAGACCATTGTCTTTGAGGAGAAGGATGGGAGAGCCATGCTGAACCTCTTCTTCATGCTCAAGGGAACTAAGACTTCACCACTGTCCCGTGCACTTAAGGTATTTGAGGTGAGTACCTAACCTGTTGTGTGGGATTCAAGGAACATATTACAGGTTTCCTGACTGTTCTGTGAGAAATACCAGTTCAGTTTACTAAAGAAGACTCAGACTAGGTCTGCCTACTGCAAATTATCAGTTAATTTTCTGATATCCCCACAGTCATGCTTTGCTCATGCCCCAGCGTGGCCTCACTTTCCATCACTAAGAATGAGTCATACCTCTGTCTGGTAGTGCTGTTAAGCCCTGGGCTTAACTTTGCTTAATTACTGCATCCAACCACACAGTTTCACACCTACAATCCATACCCTTGTGGCTTGTAGCATACTCTGACAGCCCCCTCCACTGCCCAGCACTTCAACTTCATGTGCAGGGCTCCGATCCCACATTCAAAGCAAGCTGTGTGCCCTGCATGGCTGTAGACCGAACCCGCCTTACTTGTGGGTCAAGGCTTTGACATTCTCTGATTTCAAAATTACCTCCCTCCTTCAGGGATGATTTTGATTTACATGTTAAAGGTTCTGTTGGCTCCCCCCAGATACACACCCTGTATATGGCTTTAATACCAAGGAAAAATGGTAACTAATTGAGCTTTTTCTCCCTAGCCAGCAATATAATATTACATAATCTAGGATCTCAGTACCATGAATGGAAAGACTGAGATAAGTGCTGCCTATTTAAACAGTAATCAAAACACGACCACTTGCATTTATGTACTACATTTTCATCTAGAAGGATTCAAAAGTGTTTTGCAAACATTTTTGAGATATGTTTTATCTACGTTTATATCTATGTTTAAAACATAAAACATCTATGTTTTATGTTTTAATTTCATTGACTTCACCAGTGAGAGGATAATTTCTTCCTATTAATCACTCATGTGGGTGGTAGGGGCCTCTAGAGGTCTCTAGTCCAACCTCCTGCTCAGAGCAGGTCCAGTTACAGCAGGTTGTTTGGGGCTGTGCTTGTTGCATTTTGAATGTCACCAAGGTAGAGATCCCACAGTCTCCTTGGATCCCTTGAGCAGTCTTTGCCTTCATGGGGAAAAACTTTTTGTCTTTTCTTTTTTAAAGTCCTTGCTTCTAGCTTGTGCCCATTGCCTCTTGTCCTGTGTACTTTTCAGGCAAGTCTGGCTCTGTCTTTACACCCTCCCACCAGGAACTAGTAGACAGCGAACCAGTCTCCCCTGCCCCTTCATTTCTTAAGGCTGAACAAATCCAATTTCCTCAGTCTTTCTTCATATAACATTGTGCTCCAGTCCCCTGAGCATCTTGGCAGCCCCCCACTGTACCGGCTACAGCACATCAATGTCTCTTCTACAGGACATGGTACTCCAGATGTGGTCTCCCTCATCCCAGATAGAGAGGAGAAATCACTTCCTTTGACCTGTTGTTTACAGTCTTGCTACTACAATTCAGTATGTGGTTGACCTTTCTCATCGCATGGGCATGCTGCTAGGTCATATATTAATACACATGTTAATTATGTAACACCTTCTTTCCCATGAAATGCACCCACTTCTGGGATAAAAACAGATCACCAGCAACACTATACAGCAAAACCATTACCTAACAGCTGAACACATTCAAAAAGGGTGTTTGGGAGATAAGTATTTCCCTGAAATTGTAGTGCATTCTAGCTATTCATTGCCCATGCAGTACTATCTCTGATAATCTTATGAAAAGTGTTCAAGATCTTCGGCAATTACAAAACATCTTGCATCTCCTCTAAGGGGACTGTAGCAAGAAAAGCTGTTTTCTGGGCAACATATGGGTCTTTTCTCAAGACTGAAAGAATCTGTAAGATAAGCTTGTCAGACAAAAGCCTTGGTGTTGCCATGGTTGGGGTCTCCTTCCTAGAAGTGCACAGATGCCAGATAAGGCATGAAAAATCCATCAGAGTAAAATTTCCAATGCAACAGACTGCTTAGCAGGTATGAAACATAGAAGTGTAGGCTCTTGTACTTGGTAGATTTTATGTTACATTGCATTTAAAGTCTATAATATAAACAATTTTTAAAACAGCAAGCAAGAAGCAGGGGCAGCTTATGTTCAAATATTATTTGTTTCTTCCTGGAGCAATTTACTTGCTGCATCAAGAGCTTTCCTAGTAAAAAAGCACTCTGAGCTTGTCACAGACAGAGGTTTAAATATAATAAAAAGACAAGCATGTCAAGCCACAACAGAGGAAGATTCATTTCCCAGATCCCTCTGGCAATGCAGGTACAAGATATGAAAGCAGACGGACATAATGACATTTGCCTCATCACGAACCAGGCTGCAGGGAAGCTGGTTTCACTCTTCTGTATGTGTTACATGCAGCCAAAGCATAGGTAATGCAATCATGGCTGTCAGATTAATGCAAAGGTATTGATTGTTGAGGGGACAATGTAATAGTGAAGTTGGTAGGTACATTAAAAACCATGGCCATAAATTTGATTTACCTGTGGCATTGCATCTGTTCCTTCTCATCTTTCTGCCTCTGATTAACAAAAGAAATCATGTCCCTTCCTCTACCAAAGATCTTGCTGAGACTTTGGAAAGGTTGGGTCATTGCCCAGGGACTTAGGCTTGTACTGCCAGCTTTCACTGAGCTAAAGAAAATATCCACAAATTTACCAGGGCCCTTTGGAAGACTGTAGACTCCATTTTGTCCCCTTATTCTTTGGGGAAGGTCGGTTCTGATAATGAGCCCAAATGATATCAGTTCTGGTAGCGAGCCCCAAATTAACGCTACTGCAGACTGGGTACGGCTCAGCCCCACCAAAAAAACCCCGCCTGCCCCGGTTCGGCCAGCCCCTGCCCCTTCTACGTCATCGCCAACCCCTTCCCCTCCCAACCAGCAAAAAAGCACTTTTGCCTTAAGTGGGAGATTAAAGGAAAGGGTGTCATTTTGCCAAATCAATTTCCCCTCTTGATACGATCTTCTTTGCCACTGTGGAAATCTTCTCTTGATAGTTACCGACCAGCCCCACTGGTTGTCTGTCCCAAAGGAAAAACTGTGGAGTTAGTGGAGAAGTGTGTTTATCCCTGTGGAGGGAAAAAAAAGAAGAAGAAAAAGACAAGAGGGAGTCCATCCCAAATGTATCCATATGGACATCTTTGGGAAGTAGCAGCAGGTATTACAAGTGTTGTTTAATGTTTTTGTTCTTTTCCATGTCCCAAAAGACGTTTGAAGCTAAAATTCACCACCTGGAGACCAGGCTCAGCCGAAAGCCCCGTGAAGGGACTGCTGAACTGGAGTACTTTGTGCGCTGTGAAGTCCATAGCTCTGACCTCAATACTTTCATTAGCTCCATCAAGAGGGTAGCAGAAGACGTGAGGACCACTAAGGAAGACAAATGTAAGGAACTTACAAACTGTTTCACTTTTGCACAGAGGCTGAGCTGTAGAAACAGGGTGGAGATTTTGTTATTCCCAGAAAAAGGGAAGGGCTGCTGTATGCTGAATGTGAGCAGAATTAAAAGACTGTCTCTGGGACGCCTGAATCCTGAAAGCCACTTCCCTCCTTGTCCATGTCTCAACAGACTCCAGAGTCTACAGCCCATTCTTCTGGTGCCACATTGAAAAAAACAGAAATAGGAAATGAAATTTCATGCTTTATTCACACCTCTCCTACAGAGTTCTTCATCCCTACTCCATTGTTTTATATTATAAATTTGGTTTCCTGCCTATGTGTCAGGAACTCTGTACAAGACACTCCCCATGCCATCCTGTTCTGAAGACAGGGTGGTTCTTATTGTAAAATATCCCTAGAGATCTGCAGTGATTGCTTTACAACCAGCTGGACCTTTGGATTTGCTTTTAATGTGAAATCTAGAATCTTTAAGTAAAATCCAATTTTCATCTTCTTGTTTACTTTTGTCACAAAATACTCTGCTGAGAGATGAGCAGGGAAGTAATGAGGTGCAGATCATGGCATTACACCTGATTCTAGGTCAAGAGCATTGAGAGTGTGACTACTACATTGAGAGTAGTGAGACTACTGCCCAGAAGGCATAGCTGTGTCATGTGCTGTTTGTTGTGTGTGTGTATTTGGTATACCAGGTCAGACGTATCTTACTGAACCTCACAACCCCCTCGCAGCAGGGGATGCTTCATCTTCACTTCCACAGACAGTTTTTCTTTCCCTCTTTCCACAGTTCACTGGTTTCCCAGAAAAATCTGTGAATTGGACAAGTGCCACCATTTGGTCACCAAGTTTGACCCTGACTTGGATCTGGACCACCCGGTGAGTTAGTCTCTGTGGGCACATCCTCATGTTGGGGTACTGAGCCTTCCCTCAGAAGCAGGGAGCTGGAGAACATCTATTAGTGCAGCTGATCAGGGAACTGTAGTGCAATCACCACCATGAGAGAAGTTTCTCCAGCCGGTGATGAACTTTGTTGGGTGAGAAATTTTAGTAACTGATTAAAAAAATCCTGTCTCTATTCCTATTTGTCATCACAGGGCTACTCTGACCAAGTATATCGCCAGAGAAGGAAATCGATAGCAGAAATTGCTTTTCATTATAAGCAGTAAGTCTCTTTCCTAACATCTATGCAGGGATAATGTCAATGTATCCTGTTGGGAAGTCATTGTACTACGTGCACAAGATTTCTCTTCTTTTATGTTTTGTCTCCCCATTCAGCCTTGCCAGATCTTTTTGTGTCCCTCTTCTCTCTATGTATTCCAGTCTCTTCTTAATTAAAAAATGTCTGTGGTCATTAATTCACACATTGATAAAGCCAGAATAAACCTCCTGCATAACAAAAGCCAAGTATAATTGCATCAGACCTCAAACTTTATTTTGAAAAGTAGCATCTCTTTTAGAATGACATCTAGTTTCAAGTACTGAAAAAGCTACCACATGCCCAGAAAACTTGTTCCAACGGTTCATTGTCCTGGCTGTGAAAAAAATGTGGGGTTTATTTCAAAACTGAACTTTGGTAGCTTTAACTTTCACCCAGTGGATCATATATGCCTTTCATCTACTAGATTGAATTCTGCTATCAGATTTTTTTTTTTTTTTTTTTTTTTTGCTAGGAGGGTATAAACTAAAAGGTTCACCTCCTAACTCTTTCTGATAAATTAAATAGATTCCAGTAATGGTCTCATCATTGTCTTATATAGATTTAAGACTATCTCTTGTACTCCGGCTTAATACTCCTCTTCTGATATATGCAGTGATAGCACTCAGCCTCTTCACTACAACATCGAACAGAGCTCTAATATTCAGCTGGGTTTGTAAAACATTCCCTAGATCCTATTCAATAACACTGTCTTCCACTGTAGCATCTCCTTCCCCAAGCAGGACTTTACATGTAGATTTCTGTAGTGAGCTGTGCTGAAATCAGGCTATGGAAATTTTATGAGTCACCTTCTTGAGCTACGCCTGCAACTGGTGTGATCTCAGAATGGCTTTCTGCTCTGTTAGGTTTCGTGTTCTTTGCAGATTTGAAGCCCAGAATATAGACATTGATGGTTTTATCCTGTACTAATACTAAATGCACAGAAAGTCAGTGTGCCAGCAGGAGAGTCCTGAGGGACGCAGGAAGAAATACTGTCCTAAGTTGATGCACCCATTTAAGATGTCTTCTCTCACATCTCATCTGCAGGTTAGCATTTATGAGCCACTGTGTAGCATCCCTTCAGGCTGTTAATGGAAAAGGGACTATGCTTTATCAGCGTAATATGTGAATAGCTCATCTGTTCAAATACAGAACAGAAGGATTTAGGAAATACAATTGCTAATTATGATGCAGAAAAGGCAAAAGTGTCAGTATTCTTTAATTTCCACTTACATAAATGTTAAGATTTTCTTTTTTTCTCTCCTTGATCTAACTGACAATTCCCTTGTTAGCTGCTTTTATTTTCCAGACACTTATTCATTCTTGGAGCTATCAGCCCCCTGAAGTTCAGGCACATGAAATTAACTTATTTTCACACAAAGTTTCATTTTTTTCCAGTGAAAACCATTTTTTTCCCCTGGAAAATATTATGCCTGCTAAGCTTTTGCTCATTCCTTGTTCATTTATAACCTCTGGCTAGACTAATGCTTTTCTCTGTGTCTATGTATTTGTTGCACCTGTACAAATGACCCAGTATTAAGGCTTTGTCTTTCCTGTCATCCCTTTGGTTTAAAGAAGACTGAGCAACTTCATGCAGAGCTTCTCCAAAGTGCTTCCTTCTCAAAGGGAAGAGGAGCCCAGCTTGCGCTCTGCTGCTGTCAGTAATGGTGTGTTTGCCTTGCAGCGGGGACCCAATCCCTCATGTGGACTACACAGCGGAGGAGATTGCTACTTGGTGAGTGCTGATTTAATCTGTGACCTTTATTGGCTTCACCACTAGAAGTTGGGAATCAAAACCTAAATGGTTAGGGTGTGACCTTTTGAAAAATGTATCATCTGGAGTGCAAGCATCCTACTTAATGGCTTCTTATAAAAACCAGTAACTCATTGCATGGCATTTTATGGTAGGGACTGCATTCGGGAGAGCAAGTTACCTCCAAAACAGTGATGCTCTGTCTCCTCCTGTCTTGGGGCTGCACTGAGAACATTTTCATGCTGCAGCCTCCAGGAGTTTCCTCTCCCCAGAGAGTGAAGTAGGTAATTTGGAGTCCCACTTCTCTGGCTTAGTAGCAGCCTCCAAGCAAAGGGCAGTTATCATAGCTGCAGAAAGAAGTATGACCCCTGTGGTGAATATCTGCATGGTACCTTGCTGGTGTCTCTCAGGAAAACACTTCCTTTGAATATGATTATTTCCAGGAGTGTCGCTGCAGGAGTGTCTCTGAAAACAAGGCCAGCTCATATGAGCTGAGTACACAGGCTCCTAAACAAGGTCATCTCCTGGTTATATTGACTGTCTTCATTGTGCAACTTCAGAAGCTAACTTACAGGGAATATTTTAATTCCAGTTAATTCCCTTTACACAATCTTCTGACCTTCAAGGTCAGAAATAGGTCTGTGCAGATACAACTGCTGACTTTGCAGGCTCATTTGAATGTGGACCCATATGTTTACATACCCCTATCAATGCACACAGACATAGACTTAGTGGTGGAAAAAGGCAAAAGGACAAGAAACTTAGAGGTGTGAGTCCTTGATAGTGTATAATCAGAGGACTAGACACATGGCCACTGAACATCTGCTACCTCTCGTCCTGAAGGAAGGAGGTGTACAGCACCCTGAAGAGCCTGTATCCCACCCATGCCTGCAAGGAGTACCTTGAAGCTTTCAATCTACTGGAGAAATTCTGTGGCTACAACGAGAACAACATCCCTCAGCTGGAGGAGGTCTCCCGCTTCCTGAAAGGTGGGTACGAGCCTGGGGAACTCAGAATCAAGGTCTACCAGGGCTCCAGCATGGCGGTGGCAGCTACAGCTGGGAAACATGAAGTCGAAGGAGGAGTGTGTGAGCTGAGATTTGGAAGGAGACCTGGTGGAGGCTTGTGCATTGCCAACAGAGGATGGGTAGACCCCAGGTGGTGGGGACTGCAGTTAAATACAGTGGGCTGCAACTGAAGGTCAACCCCGTACTCAAATGATCACACTGAGTACCTAAAGAGTAGATGTTGCTCCTTAGTAGGAGCAAAAAGATTAGACTTGGCACAGCCGAACCTTTAGTTTCCAGCACTGATGCTTTTGCTGTCCGTGCTGGGAACACGGGACACCAGCACAGCCCATGGGCAATGCACCCCCGCAGAAATGGTATGTGCTGTTTCAGAGAGGACTGGCTTCCAGCTCCGGCCGGTGGCCGGCTTGCTGTCAGCACGGGACTTCCTTGCCAGCCTGGCCTTCCGTGTCTTCCAGTGCACACAGTACATCCGCCATGCGTCCTCGCCCATGCACTCCCCTGAGCCGTGAGTATCCCCCAACCCTGATGGCCTCCCCTGCCCCACCATTCCACCTGGCCAGCAATTAACCTTTCTCCCTAATGGACAAACTGTCCACTCCTAACCACGTTTTTCTCCTTCCCCTTTGGGCATTGGCAGGGATTGCTGTCACGAGCTGCTGGGGCACGTCCCAATGCTGGCCGACAAGACGTTTGCCCAGTTCTCTCAGGTAAGGTGGTCATCTGCTTTCTAACCCCTGAGAGGGCAGGGCACAAGGTGAGAATCCAAACTGAGCCCAGTCTCACCACCTAAACCTTTCTTGTTCTAGGATTTATTTATATTAAAAATGATGTTCAGGAGCCCAAGTGATGGACTGAGAACACTAGTACAGAGTAAAAATGTCAGACCCTGCAGCAAAGTGTTTTTAGTCAGAGCACAATGAAGCCACAGTAGATGCATGGCAGCGCAGGGCAACAATATCTGTTGTCTCAAGGCAATAAAACAGAGCAATCCATGCATAAGGCTCTCAGACCAAATCTGTCCTGACGTTTGCCCCTTCCCTTCTCTTCCCAGGACATTGGGCTGGCATCTCTGGGAGCAACTGACGAAGAAATTGAGAAACTCGCAACGGTAAGTTTTCCTCTTTGCTGGATAGGGGCCACAACCCCTCTAGCAGCACTTCTGCAGTATCAAGGGGACAGGTCCAGCCTGGTCTCCCCAGATTTGCAGGCTCAGAGCCCCCACCCGAGCTGCCCCAGCCCTGCTCTTTCATGATGACTGAGCAGAGTGGAAATCAGTTAAACAGCAGAGCTCGCTTGCACATTAACCCAATTTTCTCGGGCACCAGAGTATCATCAAGCATCGTATTTCTAACGACAGCACTGCTGGGACTCTTTAGGATGGGATTAAATGACATCTGCTTCCTTTGGCAGTCCCTTGGCAGGGTGACCCGTCCGGCTCCAAGGGCACTGAATGGCAGCACCGCACAGCAGCCGGGCACGCAGGGGACCAGCCCAGGGACACAGTTTCCATCTGTCCCAGCATGGCAGCAGCTTAGTTTAGCACTTTTCTCTGGCACCAATGGGTTCAGGGTAAGGAGAGGGGACGAAGTGCCAGGCGCCCATTCATTTAAACAACCCCAGACGCCAGCCATGATGCAAGGGCTCAGGAGTTACAGGGAGATGAAGATGAGGAGCTGTGTCGCCTACGTGGTTTTCTTTCTCCTTTCACAGCTTTACTGGTTTACGGTGGAGTTTGGGCTTTGCAGACAGAACGGGATAGTCAAAGCCTACGGAGCCGGGCTCCTGTCTTCCTATGGGGAGCTCATAGTAAGTCCCAGCACAACTTGTCTCTCTGCTCTAGACCCTATACAGCAAAAAACCTTCTTCCTCTGCACATCTCTAATGACTTTGCCCGATTTGTTCTCCACCTCTGTCTATCACATATGTGCTCTCTGATCCCCTTAATTTCATGCTGGCATTTTCGTGCGGTGTCCATAGCACTCCTTGTCAGATGAACCAGAGGTGAGGGACTTCGACCCTGATGCTGCTGCTGTTCAGCCCTACCAGGACCAGAACTACCAGCCCGTATATTTTGTGTCTGAGAGCTTCAGCGATGCCAAAAGTAAACTGAGGTAGGACTGGGCAGTAAGGGAGACCCAAACAGAGGAAATGAAGTTATAATATATTGAAAAAGGGCTTGACACCATGGCTGCTTTCAGTGCAAGGTCTCAGAAGTACTCTGGAAACTGTTGTCATCTCTTTCAAAGCAAAGTGATTTTCCAGTTTCTACAGGGTCCAAATTCAGTCCCTTGGATTTACCCAAGAGACCCCCAAAAATATGCTGGACACAAGGGTTTGGGTGTGGAAGAGTTGGGTGGAGTGGGAGGCACTCTTGGAGACAAGACTGAGGGAGCGAGAGAAGGGACAAACCTAGCTTGTCTGCCTAGTTCTCATAGGAAGGAGTTACATACTATCTCCAGTTCCCAAGGGGAGGCCAAGCAACATAACAGAGAGCTGGTGGTCCAGGAATTGGGGACCCAAACTACCCACCATGACCCGCTCTGCTTCCTTGCTGCAGAAGGGCCAATTAATTGATACAGGTCAGGTACCAGCTGTCCTTCATGGGAGCATCTTGCCAGCATGTGTCCTTCTGAAATACAGGCTTCTGCATGATGTAAAAGCTTGCTTGCTGGGAGAAAGTTTTAGGAGAGCAGTGAAGAGCTTCTCAAAATGGTGACATTCTCTGAATTTAGGATGCAGAAAGATGTTTGTCTTTTTGAGCAGCTGCTGGGCAACTTACCCATTTATCATTCAACCAGCAAACCCCCCCCAGGCATAGTTAGCAGCTCGTGCACAAACTAAAAAGATTTGCTTGATGGGGATAGATTTATCCATAGAAAAAGAGGAGCTTTTGCTTCCTAAGCTGGTTAACATGGATTAGCAGACCTTAGACAGCATCCCACCAGTGTAACTGGGTTTTCCCATCCCATGGGACTGCAAAGAGAATGAAGTGGGGCAGCTTTACCCACAAACATCTGTTCAAAAGAGCATTTTCTTGGCCATATCCAGAACTGCACACAGGAGGAAAGTTCAGTCCTTTAACATTTGACTAACAGAGGAAAACTTTGCCTATACCATTTTATCTTAGGTTAGGAAAGGGATAGGATGAGATGAAGTATTACACAATGTACATGATTTCGCAGTTCCTGCAAGTGGGGTATTTCATATAAATAACATGGCAAGGACTGCTATATTTCAGCTTCTGCTTTTATTACCCTCACTTGCACTGTTCATACAATCCAGAGTCTAGCTGCTCAAAAACAAGCACCTGGGGAGCCCATCCTCTCAGACACACTAGGCCACTTTAAAAAAACCCCAACTGTGGCCTAATGAGTCATTTCCTTGAATTTAAAAAGGAAAAATACACCACATACACAGCCATGATTAGGCTAGAGGGTTTTGATAGTGACAAGCACTGTAAATTATCCTCTTTAAAGAGCTCAGAGACCACACAGATGTTACTCTATGAAGCGAAAACATTAAAACATCTGGGTTTTTTACAGCTGCCAGCATAGACCTGATTATCAGTGTTATCCCTCAAGAAAAGCCTCTGTTCCCAGAAAGAAAACTTTCCACCACTTTTCTAGGGTGGACACATCCCCCCAGCCCCCTTCCAGGCACCCATGTCATGCTTGTATGCTTCAAAAAGGTGTCAAGTGAACACACCCGTGTTGGAGGGCAAGTTTCTAACCATTAGCAGCTGTGCTACCAGTCGTCACTGTGGCTGACAGCATTAATAAATGAGGTGAGCTGGCCCTTGCCTGGGAGGGCTGGGGATGCTGAAATAAGCTGCATCTTTTTGGAGCTGGACAGTGTGTGCGTATGCAGAAACCCCCTCTGTTTGCACTTGGTTTTGTTTCCCTGCAAGTGCCAGCCTGCGGCTTTGGCCGTGTTGACACTTAGCCCTGTCTGGAGCTGGTGGTGTTTTCTCCAAACCCCGGCAATTCAGGACTAGGTGTTCTCCACGGCATGCAGTACCAGCTGGAAGAGCATCTGGGAAAGGGATGCTGTTCCCCGAGCCCTGCGCCACAGCAGACCCACGGTAGCCACAAGAGGGTAGCCTAAGCTAAGCAATTCAGGAGCGAAAGGGTGACGCTTCAGCAGAGACTGTAGCCATGAGTACCCAAATAGAGATTCCCAGTTCCATACTTACACAGCCACTAAAGAAAAAATCCCCTACCTCGTCAAGTGTACAAATCTTAGTGTTAGAGGTGAACATGAGCAACTTTGGGGAAACCTTACCTTGATTTGTTTCCACTTAACTGTATACTTTTCCATTAGAAAGGTAGCAACAAGGTCTTGCTCTTGAGAGGTGTCAGGCTGATCACTGAGATCTAGACTCCAGTTTGCTTTGGGTACAGTAGTGCAATGTTGCTCAGCCACATGGCTTTGGTGATGTTATTCCTATTCCCTGCCCATGCCAGAGCCACTGCATGTCAAATTTATTCTTAATACAGCTTGCAGCTAGTTCCTCTCTCCCCAAGCAGAGATTAGTCAATAAATGAATGTCAGAAAGGATTTAGGATTATAATACTGTAATACCACAGGCTTTCCCTGCAATTAGCTTCTAAATCTCCTTGGCATTTTTGAAAACGAAAAAAAGAAATTGAAGTAGAGCATGCCTGGTGATGGCCATGGAGGTGCACCCTCCCATTTGATGCAAGCCCATGTGTTCAGCCCACAGAAACCCGCAGTCAAACTCATGGTCTGCCTTGCTGAACAAGAGGGATCTCTGCTACTGCTATAGCCCTGTGGAGCTGGAAAGATGGGAAAACAGAGCGTTTGTGCTAACCTAGAAACTCTGCCTAAAGGAGTCATTAACCTGTTGTGGTCTGGGTGAATGGTGATGGGTAGGAGCCAGACTCAGGACTCATCTCTTGTATCAAGCCCTCTGCACCCTTTCCTTGCAGGAGCTACGCGGCACACATCAAGCGTCCCTTCTCGGTGAAATACGAGCCCTACACGCACAGCATCGAGCTCCTGGACAGCCCTCAGACGATCTGTCACTCCCTGGAGAGCGTAAGGGATGAGCTTCACTCGCTGATTAACGCGCTCAATGTTATCAGTTAATACAAGAACTGGGCTCTTTCCTTCCCCTCTTCCCTTGCAGCCCCAAAGCCGCCCACTCTGCCCTCGCCTAGTTCCCGGCTGATAACTCCTACCTGTCTTCGCCAAACATTTGCACCGCTGCCTGTCACCACACGACCCCAACAGCTTTCCACTTTTGTATGTAGGGCCAGCTCGGAGGAGGGCAGAGGGATGGACCCAAGGCCTGCTGGCATTTTAGGTAGCTTTTCTATTGACTGCTGGAAGAGGCTTAACACAGACCAAAAGCATGGCCAAGCATGCAAGACAAAATTGAAGTCAAGAGCTGTATGCTAGGCTCCTGGGTGCAAGGAAGAGGAGAAAAGCTTCTTTATTTAAAAAAAAAAAAAAAAAAAAAAAAGAAAAAAAGAGAGAAAATCTATTTTTTGCAGTTTGAGAGAATAAATTGATCTGCTTTTTTAGCCCCAAAGTAACTCCTATAGCAACTTCATGAGGGACCCTCAGTCCCCACCATCTCTTACAGCCTCATTCATTTGAGAAATGCAGAGCTGCTGTAAGAAGCTTTTCTGCCTGAAGCAACCCTATGAGGCTTGAAACTTCAGCTCCCAGCCTCTCCTCAGCTTCTTGCACAGAGGGATGCTTAGGCACAAACCCCCGAGCTGCACCACCCCAACAGGCTGCAATAAGCATCGTAGCTCCCCTGAACCTCTAAATTGACCTAATCCAGGAGTTGCTTCTCTGGCATAGAGCAGCCCTGATCTACCTGCACCGTCCCCAACACAAGCACCACAGAGCAAGCCCTGGCCACCCCAGACCAGAGCGTGGGCACCTCCTTCAAGCCCTCTTTTAAAAGGTCCCACAGCAGGGAGTGCTCAAGAGTCCAGCTGCCATCTGTCACAGCAGATAGCAGTCACAGCTATTGATGTTCCTGTGTGCTGGTGGTCCTGGGCAGCCCCCGCAGCCTCTTGGTGTCCTGAGTTTATTGGTTATTGCAGACTGAGCAGGGCCACTGGTGTCCTTAGTTTGCCAGTCCTTGGGAGGATTTCACATGCTTTCACTTTTCCAGTCTATTACACAGGTACAGCATTGTCTTATTCTTAGATATCCCAATATCACTGTCACCTGATGTAGCTCGGGTGTGACTAATGCTGTTGCTGGCCATTTCTGAGGAAGGTAACATATGGTTAGGATGCTCAAACCCAGTTTCATCCAGCTTTCACGGTAGATATTAATGGCGTGATCTGACCCAAAGCTCTCAGTTTTCCTCCCCCTGCTTTTGCCCTTCTTATCTTCTCGCAGGCTGCCTCATAACTTAGCGGTTTGCTCAGAAGTTTGGCCCAAGGTTATGCAGCTGTGCAGTATCAGAGCTGGGCCTGGGATGTGTGGAGGCAGCTAAACAGCTGTGGGGGACAGCAAAGGGGAGAATTACACATAGTTGTTTGCATGATCAGTTATAACATTTCTGTGTAGACTTTTACCATCCTTATCCACTATATATGATTTTTGTAATTTCCTCTTTAAAGAAATGCAAGGCTAAGCAGTCAAGATTTGGCTATTAGGTGTAAGTATCCTCCAATACTTATATATACCATCACTCTCCAGTGTTACTTCTACTCTCATGGCAGTATGTCATGGCTCAGTCATAATAGTTTACAATCCATTACACTTTATCCCATTTCAGAGCTTCACATACATATACTTAACCTGCGGTTCTCTCAAATTTTAACTACTCAGCTACTGACACCACTTAGTCTCCCACCCGCTTCAATCCTTCCTTTCTGCTTCCTCTCTTATTTGACCCCCCTCCTAAATTCCTCCTAAATTACTTAAAAGGCCATGAAATCAGCGGTTCAACACTAGGACTAGCTGCTTCTCCTCAAGTTGTTCCTCCTTGGAGGATTGTCCCGTAAATGAATAAAACTACTGAGTTCATTCAGTTATTGTAATTTTAGAGCACTTTTTCCAAAACTTCAGATATGATTTCCCAATCTGGGTGGATCCAGATCTTGAGCTGTAACTCTCAAGGCTCCCTTAAGAGCTGCAACAATTTTTAATTTGGGGTCTTAAGTTATTATTATTAGATTAAGTAGCTGGGGCAAGCTAGGCAAGACTAAGGCAAGTTAGGTCATGGGTTAGCGGTCTAGCCATGAAAATCTTATTGGTGACTCCAGTAAAACAGACTAAAATAAAGAAAATAAAGCTCCAAACAGGCAAGATGTAACAATGAAGCCTGTATAGTTAATGCACAGCTTATAGCCTTGTTAGCAATTACAGTTCCATGTTACTGGCCTGCAGGTCTCTGCTCTTCCTGTCCTTTGGTAGACTCCAGCTCTTGGGTTACTGCCCACAAGTGCAGCAAGGATGCTGCAGCGACGCCAGGCTCCTGAGTAGGACTGAGCAGGGAGTCTCCATGGAGGTGTTTGCTTTCTGGTCTGGCCTCAAAACCCATAAATGTCTGAAGGTGGTCGCCTCTAGTTCTCCAAAGCACTTCACAGTCATTATCTGCCTTGTTAAATGTCTAAAATTAATACAATTTATAAAAAGACCCAAGCTATTAATATGGAGTGAAAAACCAAGTTAAAAATCCTTGCAACTGCAGGAGCCCTCAACTCCTCCGCCTTGCCTTGGAGTTTGCATTGCTGCTCCGTGACTCTGTCAGCTGTTGCTTGTTCAAGGAGCTGTAGTAAAATCTGTTGCCCTACAGAAATAGAAAATAAGCAAAACTTGAAGCATAAACCAGCCCCGTTAGTATGCAAGCGTATAAACAGATCTACTGCAGCCACGCAGGAGGTAAACACCACATGGGCTGCACCCCCTTGCTTCCGAGAGATGAGGTTGTGCTGAGGCGTGCTGCAAGTGTGGGGCTCAGGCTGAATGGGCGCCGGAGGTTCCTCTTTGGGGCATTTTCTGTGTCTGTGTTCTTGACAAAGTCATGACAGATTCCAGATTTTTTTTTGGCTCCCTAGGGCGACATCTGAGAAACATGAACCCGTTTGTATTTACCATTGCCCTCATCTATTTAATATATTAGAGGACTTATCCTATTAGTAACATACTAAGTCCCCTTCATTTTGTCTCCAAGTCTTGTTCCTTTTTATCTGATTTCAGATACATTTCTTGGCCCCTTATTTCATAAGCCAATATGAATTGGATTCTTTCTTTCTCATTTTACCTCTTTTTCTCATGTTGCTTCTTCTACCCAAACCTTGTTTTCTTCTTTATCTTGCCATAATATTTTAGGGTCTTCGACACAGGGCCACCAAGGAATGGGCTATCCAAACAAAATATGGTAGGTTTGTAAACCAGTCCCTAACCTGTCACTACTTCTTAAAGCTACTAATATCAAGGTTAACTTTTCAGCCCATCATTTTGGATACTGTCCTACAATTTTCTTTAGTCTATTTTTAATAGTCTAACTCCTTTCTTTCTACCAGTCTGGAGGATTGCAGGTGGTAGGGTATATGCAGTCCTTGCTTAATCCCTGGGTTACTCATTAAGGTTTGAGTTACTTCACTTACAATTCCTCCCTGTCCCCCCCAGCTCCTCATCTCATCGTATCTCAGCTGCTGGTCCATGTTCTTTAACAGCATTTTTACAGTTCCAGCAGCTATATTCCTTTTAGGTGGAAGAGCCTCAACCCATGTTGGAAAGATATTCATGATGACAAAGAGATACTGATACCCTTCTTTAGTTTGTGACAGTTTATCTGGATGATTCTTTTGCAGTATTTGCCAAGGTCCTTGGTTTAGCCAATGCAGTAGAGTTGGCAGCTTTCTTTTACTAGTCCACTTTTGCATCATTGCATACCTTACACAGTTTTTATTTACATCCTCTATTTCTTGCTTCACTTGAGGCCAAATATAAATTCTTTGCACTCTTTTCAGAGTACCCTGTACTCCTTTATGTAACTTCTTATGACAGTCTAAGATAGTTTGCTCTCATTCAGGCGGCCACACTATCCATCCTATCTTCTCTTTTAGCTGATTCCTGGTTGGGGCTGCAGTAAACAACTCTGAGTCAATTTATCTACTTGCTCACTAGATTGTTTCTAAGTATTGCTTTAAGTCTTCACATGTGCTTTAACATCCTTTACATATATTTTATTTCTGCTGTCCCTCTAAGCTTGTAAAATAAACCTGTTTTCTTCATGAGTGTCCCATTATGTGCTTACCATTGCTTTTCTCCCTATCATGCATCCAGTATTTTATTCTATTATCAGCATAGTAGCTATCTGTAAAGGGATATTGTGTAGCGGGGTTTGTATTTTACTGACAGCCTGTAAGCTCCTTGGCATGATCCTTTCTCTAGTTTCCCCACCATTTGTTCCCTCATTCCACTAATAGCAGTATCTTGGATTATTTTTCCTCCTTGTTCAAATTTAGCACTCCTGTGAGTGCACAATACCTTTGGTTTATTACTGGTTTCCTTTAAAAGGATATCCACATTAATACCCTTTTCTTCTCTTTGTGTTTAAGAGCAGAGTATGAGTAGGCAGGGGTACAACTGGACCATCGAGGGGGAAAGCCTCGAAGATTATCATAGCCTAGACTGCTTCTAACCAGGTTTTCACATGGCCAGGGAAATTTTTGTCCAGCCCCTGGAGAGAGGAGGATTCATATGCTACTGGTATCCATTTTCCTTCACTATTTTTCTGTAACAGTATTACTCCCACAGAATCGGCTCATGTTGAAATTCTTACTATGAATAATTTACCTTTGACTTGGAATTTTAGTGCAGCGGCTTTTCAAGCAGCTTCTTTCACGTTAGATGAAGCATCATCTTACTCTTTGTTCCAGCTCCCTTCCTGATTCTTTTTCTGTCATTTCCATAATGCTCTGCTGGTACTAGCAAAGATGGATATGCTGCCATAAGATACTAGCACAGTTATAGATATGCTGCCACAAGAAATTAAATCCTCCCAGCACTCTTCAGAGTTGGGACTGATTAGTGGGAGTCTTTATTTCACAGAAAGCTTAACCTTTCTAGCATCTATTCGTCTTCTTGTTTCACCAGTTCCAATTCCC